CCGAGACGCCTCATGCTCTCTGAGTTTCCGACTCATTAATGCACTTCTGACATAACCGCAACCAGTCCGAGCTAAATCCTTGCCTGGCTGAGAGCTCACTAGCTATGTGAGACCGGGCGCCGGTTCTGTTGCGACAGCTGGGGCCGGTCCAGTCACGCCCTGCTCTGTGTCTCGCTGACTCTATGAAAACGAATATATTATTCACGCGTTAGAGGGTTGTCGTGTTTAGTTCTAAGCGCTGGTTAGACTGAGGTACTCCCAATGAACTTATGGAATGTGTACAGCTGTAATTGACTGTGTGAGTTTTGGGATCCTATCCGCCGCCAACAATGGCGTGTTCATTGTAAATCATTTCAAAATGTAATTTGTTTAAAAGTTAGGTTAGTCGAGCGACGTACCGAAGTAGATTCGCCATAGATATTTAGTTATTTCATAGCTCGTGCTTATTGTATATTTAATTTTAATATTTCTCTCAACCAACACTAAACCCAAACTACTTACAAAAGTTTCTTTGAGTTGAGTTGATGATTACCAAACGTAAGTAATTTGAAGTTTCTAATATATCCTTGTACTGTAAAGTGAAAGATGACTAGCTATCAATCATATGAGGCGTCAATTAATACACACACACGTGTTGATGATATTTGTATGTATGTAAACTCTATCTTCTAACAGCAACCTTCAGACACGCAGTGAATGTATCTCCGGTATGTATTAATGTATTTCTCGAATACATATGTACATAAATATATGTTCCTTTACTTTCTGGCGGGTAGCCATCATATAACTAAGTCAAGACATTTGACAGATGTCTGAATCTCGCTTATGACATTTAATTTTTCAAGATAAGCTTGCATATATATACAAGTTCCGAACAACAACATTCGGACCCGCTCGGTGGAAGATGTTCCTATCGTTGCTAAGCCTACAACTTCAAAAATAATTAATCTTACGGTGGTCCTGAAGGACTCAGTATGTGGACTGCTAGCGACGGATGGGCGCAGCATGGCAGTCACCGACGAAGACGGCTGCACGATACCATGACCATAGACTCTGGCGTTCCACGAAGGTCTGGGATTCGGCAACATGATACGTCTTGCAAGCTGACGACATCCTGTTCTGTCTGTTCGCATGACGCACTGTGGCGCGGACGATGACTCGGAGGGTGTGCGGCTCCGGAGTTTCTTCCGAAGCATGTTGTAGGAAGTAGAAAAATCTTCGAGTAGATTTACTAAAAACGATCAGTTAAATTATATAAAATGAACGCACCGGAGGTACAGGATTAGGATATGTTCTTCATGGCGCTGGAATATCAAAGAGTATCGAGCGAGCATTCCGCACGAGCTGCTGCAGGAAGCTTCCACAGAAGTCTATAAAATGAATGCCTTTAAGTATTACTACTCAAAAAATTTCGTAATTTTTTACCCGCTGACGGATTTGTATTTGCATATGCTCGTAGTGCTGTAAATAGAACTCTCCCCCCACGAGGTTCTCCACAATGACCGGTCGTGCGCAGCCTGCATTCAGCGGACTCTTGTGACGTCTAGCAGGTCTTTGGTTCGTCTCATCGGAGGCCTGCCCTCACTGCGCTTTCCGGTGCGTAGTCACCACTCGAAAACTTTTTGGCCCCAGCGGCGATTTTTTGTACGAGCGAAGTGCTCTGCCCGCTGCCACTTCCATCTTGCGATCTTTTGGGCTATGTCAGTTACTTTTCTTGTTCTGCGACATTTTACTAAAATGAAATATGATGAGCGTTATTCTATAAAACTTTATGTGGCCTCGGGTCAGTCCGAGTCAATCCGAGTCATTCCGAATCGGACCTAGTCATTCCGAGTCGGATATATTTCATAACGCGTGTTGGAGTGCAAGCCCGTCGAGGTGTGGCGTCATAAGGGGACCTCCAAACGTGCTTTATGTTTGTTAAAAAACAATCGTTTTTTACATTCTTCAATATTATCTTTTCTAAGGCAAATAGTTGTAGGTAAAGCCGCAGAGTAAACATTGTCTCACCGGACATCCGAACGCCTCGACGGCCAGTTTCATCAGTCCCAACACACACATGCGTCGACGCGACGTGCTCTGTATCGATACTATTCTCACTTAGTTGAACTTCAATAGAAATTCAATTAAATGGTACGGCTATACGATATGAAATGTTACTGAAGCACACGCCCAACATGTGTGGAGGCTTTTGCATTATGTTGAAAGAATGTTTCAAAATCGGGGTATTTTTTTCCTATTGAGAGCTTCAGCTGCGTGCGGTGCGGAAACGGTTAAAGTTTCGCTAAAATGATGTATGACAAAATTGTTCCCCTTTAAAAGTTTAAAAAAAAGTCCGCAACAGCATATCTATATAATTATAACGTTTTTTGTGTTAACCAAATTTATTCTAAAATAAACCATTATTTGTGAAGGTGTTTTTATAAAGATGATATTACCTAATCTCTATCCAAATAAATACGTTATTAATAACAACATTGAAACACTCAAATCACTTCAAGGTAGGCTTTGATAATTATAGATTTTTCTGAATTTTTCCAGGATTCTAGCATCAGATCTTGATGATTTCAGAGCCATTAGTCTACCTTTTCGAACAAAAAAAAAGAAAAAAGAATTATCAGAATCGGTTCAAGCATTCTCGAGAAATCGGTGAACATACATAGATAAAAAAAAGTATGGTCGAATTGATAACTTCCTATTTTGAAGTCGGTTAAAAAACGTGATTTTGGTACCTTAAATAGCTTCTTAACATTCTATCATTCAAAAATATTTTCAGTTTCTACGTAAATGAAGAGGCGGGTAAAGTTTAGCGTTATGCCTAAGTAATTATTCCACGCCGACGAAGTCGCGGGCAAAAGCTAGTACAATATATATGTATTTGGTTCAGGCTCTCGAGCCGTAGGTTTTGGCGCATAAGTCCCGGAGGAGGACTCCCATGGAGGGCGGCATGCAGGAGTGAAGTGCATGACACATTATGCACCGAACTCCCACAGCACTCTGTCTCCACGGGCCGTTACTATTTTAATTTCCTGAACAATAACAATAAGATAATGAGAGAATGAGAATGTCCGCGTGTGACTGTTGCTCACCGCGTCCGAGTGTCATCGTGTGACTGACACGCGTCTTCCGTCACTTGTTGCTCTCTAATTACCTCGTTCTTATTGTTTGCTGTAATTTTATACATTGTACATTGTTCTTCCGTACGAAAATTGCTAGTTAATGTATTGCATACAAAAGACATCAACGCTGACGTCTATCACCTGACACGTGCGCCTTAAATTAAATAAAAAGCATCTGTACAGCTCACACACGATAAATGATAAACTCATTCTCTCACAGGAAAGTCGTGGATGCCAGGAGGCCATAGGCCATATAGGTATATATATATGCTATTCGATTTTGATTTTAGGTTTCATCCGGTTTTTTAACAACAAATCAATTCAACTTCAACCTCATATAGCATTCATCTGTCATATTTTTCTTTTATGAATATATTCATTATTAGGAAATATCTAAAAAGTAAAGTTAAGAAAGTAAAAATATCGGTGACTGATCTCATTGCTCCATTGCGCTCACTTTCGGAATATAGTCACATCAAGTTGAATTGTTCAAGTCCCTGGTGTCACCGACTGTCATCAACACCTCAAGCTAATGTGTAAATGGAAATATTCCTGACAGGGCTTGCTTGACATGCCCGAAATACTTGACTCGTAATTATTTCATTTAAATAATTGTACAAATATAGTTTAGTAGAATTATACTCTACTTTATTTGTGAAACAAAAAATAGTGTTGATTTGTGATAAAGAAGTTATGTGTTAAATGTTCGTGCGTATGTGTATCGACTTCACCTACTTACATATCATTATGATTTGCACAACGCACGGACACACTTCACAATATACCACATACATAATTTAATTAAAATATATATATTTATTTATAATTAATGAATATTCCATAGTGTTAATATAAGAGTGCCTCTTAATACGTGAGGTGCAAAAGCGCAGTTTCGCAAGAGCAGGAAGCTCTACACTTGGCCGACTTTTGACCGAACTTATTCAAAGCTTGGCCGACATTTGGTTGACTACTTTTCTGCAATAATATGAAAAGTGAAAAGAGCTCTTCCTACTAATTTATTGACGGAAGGAAGCAAACAACCATACAGCCTTCCGGGTTTGAATGGGGATAAGCGAAGTCATGTTCAAGAATCACTAGATATTGGCGGGACCTTTTGACGTCATTGAGTAGGTTTGTTCCAGACTAAATCATTTTCATTAGTTACACATGTAGTTGTGTAGTTCAGAAATAACTCACCAAACAGACATCGACTGATTATTTATCACGTTTGTGATTTTTTTCTGTTTACACATAGAAAAATGATAATTTATTTAGCATAATTATACTATGTATATATTATATATAATTATAGGATCTGTTTATTGGAATACTGTCGGTCGCAGTGGTTTAAATATATAATCTGAATAAACCAAGGTTGCAGAGGTGAACGGTGTTTAGAAATATTTTGAAACTTGTCTATATTAAGTCGCACATAACTAGACTTGTTTTAACGTATTAAGAAAATAANAATGATAATTTATTTAGCATAATTATACTATGTATATATTATATATAATTATAGGATCTGTTTATTGGAATACTGTCGGTCGCAGTGGTTTAAATATATAATCTGAATAAACCAAGGTTGCAGAGGTGAACGGTGTTTAGAAATATTTTGAAACTTGTCTATATTAAGTCGCACATAACTAGACTTGTTTTAACGTATTAAGAAAATAATTTCATACAAATATTAAAATGTAGGTATAAATAGAAGTAATTTTCATTTGAAGTTATATTGCGACAGAGCCGTCAGAGTCATATGAAAGGTTAGGGACGGGACATGAGGTCGTGTGGCGGGTGTGCTCGGCGGGGGGAGGGGGGAGGGAGCGCGCTGAGGGCGGTGGCGGCGGACCGGCGTGCGCTCAGTGCTCGCTCCGTCACGATGGTGTCCGCACGCTCGCTCGCCCCGCTCTGCGCACTCGTGCTGTTGGCGACCGCCACCCCCCTCCCCCGCAGCCGCCGCCAGCTCGCCGACGACGACGCGCTGCAGCCGCTACAGGTAACCTCCCGCGCCGTCTGCAGCCCTGCAACTCTGCTAAATCTATCTTCGCGCACCTCACAGCCCTCCCTCGCTGCGGCGCCGACACTTTGTTTAGTAGAGTTGCAGGGCTGGCGGCTGCGGACCATGCTGTACATAATAATGTCTTGAGTGGAGTCGGTACGTGATCGCTTGGCGTACACTCGGCTGGCGCTGGTGGACGCCCGCGCACACATGTGTAGATAGGTGCGCGGTGCGGGGACACGTCTCGATGTGCAGTCGCGGTCAGTGGGTGATATAACCCGGCACGACTACTTATGTAAATATTAAGAAACGAGCCACAGAATCGTTTCGTGAATGTAAATGTATTGCGCGGACCGTAGTGCGGCTGCGCTGTGTCGCGGGTCGTCCCCGGGTGGGTCACGTGCCGCCTCCCGCGCTCGCTTGTACGTCACTGCTTACTAACACCTGCTCCTTCATACCAATACATCCAGTTTAATGATTTAGTCAGTACCGGTTGTAATTGCACGCGACGAGCTCAGTAACAAGCTTCGAACATAAACAGAAAGACAAAGAAAGTGGTTTGGAGTCAGTGATCGGCCCCGCGGACCGGACTAGCTGGTTCCCAGGTCGTTAGCTTGATGAGTTAGTTCGTTAGGTGAGTGATGTCATGTTGCGCGACGGCTGGCTCCCTCGATGTGGATGTAAAACGTTTTCTTTCAGCAGTTTCTTCACTAGACAGCGTGTGAATAGTAACAGCATAGAGATGTGTGTCAAGGTCACGTGTGCGCCGTGCTATGTGCGTGTGCGTGTGCGTGTGTGCGTGTGTGAGTGGACGCGTGTGTTTGGGAGCGGACGAAATGTTATATTATTGTATGAATTTCAGTAAATTCAGTGATTATTCACAATACTACACAAAACCGGATGTCGTAGGGTATACGACGGTTTCCCGTGGCAAGTGTTTTTTTCCACTAAGTATATGTATTTGATTACCTAAAACAATAATTATAAAAGTTCAAAGGATGTTCGGATGCTCGCTTCCGCTATCACGTCACTCGCCTTCGTGTTGGGGGAACAGTTTGAGCCTACCTACCGGAGCCGCCGTGGACGTCTACTGTTTTCGGATTTGACGGAGACCTCAGAGTGGAACCGCCCGGCCTCGGATTCCGGAATGTACACCCCTGCGCGGTTTACTCCCTTATCTAGTTTAGTTTATTCTAAAGCTTAGTACATTACTGACGACGATCTCGTGTTGTATATAAATTAGTTTGGATTCATAATGTTAGAAATTAAAGATAAATTAACACAGTGGCATCTCTCATCAAACTAGAGAAGAAAATAAAGAGGTCAAAGAAAAGAGGTAGCGCAGCAGTAACAAAAACTTTCGCTATTGTTTCAAGAGATACAATGTTGTAATTTGTAGAGTGTGTACGCGGAATAGAACAACAGAGCCGACTCTACACGCCGTACGTGTGCTTGTAAATATATCGCCTATATCACGCCACAGACTAAACAACAATAGCACGGTCGGACGAACAACCTAACGATAGTTGGCGGCCAGCTCACCGCTGACGCTTTAGTTGAGATGGTAATATTTCATTACAGGAACGATCACAGATCAGTTTAGTGCAGTGTGTCAGTCCAACTGGGCGTGTCACCGCACTTGTCGCGATCTGTTCCCTCTCTTTGTCTTTCTGTTTAACTCCGCTCGATCGATTAGGACTCATATAATTGTGGTAACCTAGAACGACGTTAATAAAATGTAGATGATGAACATGTCAGCGACCATCGTGTCTCTACTTAGAGAGCTACATCGTGGCCACGGATATAAGTTATATAAGTCTGTACTATAGCTCCTTATGATCAATATGTTTATGGTCAAAAGTTTGAATTACAATGACATCTTACCGATATGGTGTTCTATAGCGACCGCAGCGCGCAGCAGTAAGTCGGTCGGCAGCCGATGTATCTCTACTAACGTAACGTAACATAAGGTCGTTCTAAGGTCCTCACGCTCCTCCACCGCGCTGCATGGCTGTGCTGGTCGTGCTGGTCGCGCTGCAGCGTGGAGGCAGCGACAGCTTGTATTCCGGTGCTGGCTCCCCATCTCCTGTGTCCGCGCGGACTTCTTAGCATCTACTAACGTATTGTTTATGTATATTCTGACCGATTATATTTTTCCTTACAAATATTAATTTTTTCACGAGTTTTGTTCGCTTGTGAAAAACAATTTAAGCCAGTTCCGTGCTTCGAATAATATCCCGTACTCTTTAAGCCAATAATTAAAATAACGGATCGACATAAGTCACCTTTTTAACATGATCCAAGTGAATGCCGTGCCTCGCGTTCATCCTACCGGAGGCCGACTTCACCATTAAAAGTACAACAAAATTCCTAAGCTGTTTAAAAGCTTTTTAAAGTACATCAGTTCTCACCTCACGTACTCCACCGCACATACCTCACCACACACAGACACACACGCGCGAACACAAATAGTTTTAGTGACATCAAATCAGAGACACAGCCTCTTTATGATTGCATCAGCGACCGTTACAAAATGGTTGTTTTCCCAAGTAAGGACCTGTTGGTCTGTCAGAGCGGTCCCGCTAATGGCAGTAGGTGAGGCAACGACCGCGGCTCGTCTGACCTCCGCAGAGCGCGGGCCTGTCGACCCCATCGGGACAAAACAGTTACCCACCATTGTTGCGTCTATTTGTCGAGCGTTTTTCTTTTGTTTTGTTTAGTTGCCATGGATGAGCTTTATTCATTAAGAAAATTTTTGAGAAAATTTAAATTAAACCTGTGGAAATTTTCAATAAGAAAATAAAAAGAAATTGTATCAATTAAAATGCAGATCATGAGCGGTCTATAAGCGTATCGATCAGCTATCAATCTCCATTACTGTCCGAGCACTAGTCATTGATTGTTCCGTTGTGCATTTGCTGAGGGCGAGCCGCGTCAACACAGTACAGTACCCCCACCAGCACACGCGCGCGCGGCGTGTTGTGTTGGATGGACGGTCAGCTCCCGGCTCGAAAACTAGCACCGTCGCTTCCTGGAACAAATGAGCTCAAGGTCTATTTTGTATTAAGTGGTCACACAGACGTCACAACGTGCACTCTGCCGTCCATAGTAGAACATTTATGTTATACATCGAGTCAGAGCGCATTCACTACACAGACTGACGGCTCGGTGCTGCCCAGCCCCGCGGACCCACTGTACGCTCTACGCTCTTACCAATAAATGCTGATTAGCGGTCGCAGTGTGCGCTGGTGGGACATTGCTCAAATGGCTCTGGTACCCACTCTCCAGTAGATCCTTTAATCGCCAACGACACCCGCGGGAAGAATCATGGTTATTACTGACATGGCAACGAACCGAGTACAATAACACGCAAAGTGTTACTGATGCGAGCCCGTTACAAATCCCTGTCTGCGATACAATTACTTGCATACAATTCTACGAGTAATAGGTGTCACAGCGAGGTGCAGAACGTCATGCGCGCGTCGGTTCAGTATGGGAGACTCCTTGAGGTCGATTACAACTAAGAATTGGGCGTTGTTAACGCGACGCGTACTGTGATAGCACTTATTGTGTGCAGCAATCACGTGTTCGCCGGCCCATAGACTTCAACGCGTGCTGAAATGAAATAACTCCATAATTAAATAGTAGCATCAGAAAGTGCTTGTTCAATATATCAACGGTTCTTTTTGTAAGCCGATTCGCTCTACGTTCAGTCGTGGATTTCGGATTAGATCTGTGAGCTACTTGTGTACGCGTGTGACTGCACATTGTGAGCCGCTCTTAGTCACTCGGAATGTGAGTAATTGTTTAGTGGAACACATTTTGTTTGGTTGTGCAAGTTGTAACCGGCTGTAATTGCCACTTCGGAAGTGCATTGTAACCGCGAGTACAGTGCACTGAGAGCACGGAGACAATGCACACGTTTTTGCGATAGTTCTCAGCCGCTGACTTCATACGTCACTAATGTTGCCTAACCGATGAGAACCTCTCGGGGAGATACTGTCTCTACCAACTACGTAACATTATTATGAAAGGTTGCGGTACACGACGCGACGCGATGACGCGATGATGCTACATACTTGAAATTTTCGGAGTTTTACAACTTAAATGAAGATTTTTTTATAGTTTTTGTAATGAGATCCGCAGATTTAATGTCGTTGCTTGCTCTGTACAGTAGTTTATGGAATAATATAGTATGCCAAACAAAGTAAATGAATAGTGTCGTTAACCAGGTCACCTCGCACTGGGTATCAATTAAAGCCTCCAAGCGAACCTGTTCAAGCGAGTGACCGGCCGGCCTCGACCCGCGGTCCGCACCCACGCCACCACACACGCCGGACACCCGCGTCCCACACGACAAAGATCTATCTATTTTATTTATTTCATAGATGGGTGAACGAGCTCACAGCCCACCTGGTTCATAAGTGGTTACTGGAGCCCATAGACATCTACAACGTAAATGCGCCACCCACCTTGAGATGAAAGTTTTAAGGTCTAAGTACAGTCTGAATTATTTTTGATATGAATTTTATTGTAAGCGCCATGTGCTGATGAGGTGAGAGGGTGGGCGGTCGTACACCGACACCGCTGTGTCACCTGAGCACACCGGTCTTCAACATCATCCCATCTGCAATCAACAGCGAATGGTGTTGAAGTGTTTCTCAACAACCATAATAACTTTATTACAATACTTATATGAGTGAGCATTAATGAGCAGACCGACACACTCCCGCCGTCCGAGGGTCCGCTCTGTTCAGTTAGGTTGGACCGCGGTACTGGGTAGAGGCGGTGCGTTGTTCGTGGTTGTGTCGCAGATGTATTACAAATCAAGCAGCGCGGGCCGGCGCCGGCGTCGTGTCGCAACGCGTGCTGCTGGAGACGAGATGTAGAGGGGAAGGGTTGCGAAACTGCGGCCTCGTTCGATGTTTGCTGATAACTGATACTGCAAGCGCCTGTTGTGAAGAGATCCTTCCGAGTCGCAAATTCCGTCCGCGATACGGCTCTCGCTTCACTGGCCCATGTGTTGTTACGGTGACGTTTATAAAGTTGCTCCACGCAAGCACCCCTTTCCCCTCGTCCCCGCTCCGTGGAACTCATCTTTATAATGTGTGTTTCATCACAAAATGCTATCCCTCGTCGTCTCTGCTCGAGCCTGAGGCGCATCTATTGAGACAGAGACTACATAGACAACCTGAGTCATGAACACCGTCGCACGACTCGCGGGTGCGTCTCTTTTTTTTCCCTACCTAAGCTGAGAGCCTTGAGAAGTTATATCAGCGTAACCTTAACTAGTAGATGAGCTTACGGGGTTCAAACCTGACGACGTTGCTAACACGAACCCTTTTTTTTTTTCGGGTAGATGGCCGAACCTCCTACGAGGTCACCGCGCAAAGGGGCGCGCGGGGTATGTGAGACTCAACGATCTGCATGGTGTTGTGAGCAGACCGCGGGCCCAAGGATTTTAGCCCACCCACTAAACGACTCCGCTGCACTCTTACACCCGACGTCCGATCCCCTCCGAGGTCAGAACCCGGATGAGGTAGGGGGGTTACCGCGGTCAACACTACAACCAGACGGCGCGGCTCACCCCAAGGACGCCCAGCTGACGGATCCTTCGAGACGAATCGAAGGCTCTGAAACGTCGACCGTCTCGGTACGGCAGCCCGTCGGGCCGCCCAGACGGTGCCGCTGATGTCCCGGAATACCCCGCTGGACCAGAATCAGCATGCCGGGTCGGGACGTGATACACCGTCGACCGGTCGCTCTACTTACTCCACGGCAGCGCGCTAGAGTGCTGGTAGCGCGCCGCGCGGCCTCACCCCCTCAGGTCGCCCCTTGACCTTCACCGGGGAGAGGCCGCTACCTACAGGGTGCTAACACGAACCCTAGCAAGAGCCGTGCTTCGCAGAATCTACCACCAGATCTGAAACGCGACCCACTGAGAAGATCCGGCGAGAAACTCAGAGGACTGTCTGAGGGTTAATTTATTCGTCGAGTCCTTCGTCGCAAGCGACGGGTTCGACGAGAACGATGACAGGTGCTTGAGGTACTTAAAAGCACCGTTAGTGGATCGGGAGAATCCGAAATGACGTGCTTAGGGCAACGTCGACTGCTTTCCATTCTGTCCTCAGGATCGGGAATGTAATTACCGGCGGCCACGATTAGAGGGTTCTAGTGTCGTGCCGCTTTATCGAAATGGCGCATTGACGCCGACTGCCGATACTTACTGATGGACTCTAAGTCTAGGTCGTCATGGAGGTCGACGTTCTTGACGAACCACGGAGCTCCAACGGCTATCCTGCAAAAACGGGATTGAATTACTTGGAATGATTTTAAGTTAGTGCGGGCCACGTGAGCGAACACTACACTTGCATAGGTCATGACGGGGCGTATGCAAGTTTTGTAGAGTGTCATCTTATTTCTAAGGGACAATTTACTTCGCCTGCATATCATCGGGTAGAGGCGTCCTAGTATGAAGGCGGCACGGTCGCGTACCGTCTTTATGTGGGGGCGGAATGTCATCCCTCTGTCAAAGGTGACGCCTAAGTATTTGACCTTCGGGGTCCACGGTATGGGTTGGTTGTACATCATGATTGGGCGAACGGCGGAGGCGGAGGTGTTGACACGCCTAGTCGGGAGAGGGATGCTCAATGTGGTGTTCGGAGGGCGACCCCTTTTGAAGAGCACCGCTGTGCTTTTCGTGGGATTGATGTCGATGCGTCACTTCCGGAACCACTGTCCCATGGTGGTAGCTGCAGTCTGGAGTCGCCGATGTAACAACGACTTTTTCCTACACGAGTAGTAGTAGAGCGCCAGATGGGTCTCCGGAGACCGGGGTATATCGTTGATATACAAACAGAACAGTAACGGGGAGAGGGCGGAGCCTTGCGCGACTCCGGCTGTAACGTGACGGGGGCGAGAGCGCGTTCCCTCGACTCGATATCGGAACGATCGGTTCGACAAGTTGTCTCGTATGATGAGAAAAAGCGTCATCGCAGTCGGTAGGATGCAGTCGACGGTGCAGTAGCGTACGTAGTGTCAATACAACTAGCGGCCCGGAGATGTCAACGAACTTCTAGACACAAGTGACCACATGTAGTAGCGTCCGTGGTGTAGCGGCAGACCCCGGTGTATTCTGTTCATTGATGGCATTATGCCAAATGCGGCAGGCGCAGGCGGTACGATTGTTTCAATGTAGACGTGCACCGAGCATGGATAATTGGATCGCTATCATGATGCCGGACTCATATTATGTATTAAAATAAAACCCACAAAGGTAGTGAGGTAGTGAGGCCGCCCGGGGAGGCACCACCGGCTTACCAACTTCTGGTATCAAATATTCATGCGACCGTTGTATATACTACTAGTACTATCTCGTGCTGGATGATGGCATTCACGTTGTCACATATAGACTTCGCACCCCACAGAATTTCCGATCACCACTTAACATGAAGTGAGCCACGGGCTCGTCTCTCTAATAAGTGTTATAAGCTAATAATAAATAGTCATAATAGTAATAGTAATATTCCGATGTTTTACAATATTTTAATAATTTGACAACTCCACCCTGAATTCCATTTAGTTGGTGGTGTCCATGGGCTCTAATTGCTGCTTTATACTAATTACAAATACCCGTAGACCGCGTCGTGCTCTGATAATTGCAGTCATTCGTAACCAGCATCCAGTACAATAACTTGAATGAGGCCAACATAGACTAGGACTAGAGACCAGGAGCCGCGCCGCGCCGGGCTGTGATGACGTCACTGTTTCACTATGTCACGTCCGTTAGTCTATTTGTGCACGCGGCGCTGCGGGTGACCTTCAGATTTACAAATACACATAATATGGTATGCGTACTAAATAAAGGATGGTGATGGGTCGGGGCGCAGTGGATAGGTCGCGGGAAGCTTTGCTGGTGGTCGGTGTGCGTGAGTGAGAGCGTGCCAGTAGTGACGAGGCTCGTGTGTGTGTGTGTCCAGGAGGTGGGCGACGAACAGCTCCGGGAGAAGCGCAAGCTCGAGGGCATCACTCAGGCAAAGTTCGGCGTCAAGAACGCAGTGCTCGGGTTCGTCTTCGGGGTCAGTACTTTACTCTTTGTGTTCTTTGTTTATTTCACTCCGACACGCATTCATGTAATGGACTATCTACTTGATTATTGACTCGACCTACTGTAGAGTGGATATTGCTCAATTTGCGCAACATACCGCGCAATCTTGGAGAAAACTAAAATATATAGCGAGGCCATCTATGAATATGCGCCTCTGTAATAACAACACCGCCGCGCCGCGCCGCGCCGAGGTCAACGGAAGCTGATGAAACAGCGCGAGTAGAGCGCAGTAGTACGAGCGAGTCCTGCCGGCTGCAGCAGGACTCGGTCGGGTGTCATGGTCCTGTCGTTTTCAGAAAATCAACTCGTTGATCGACGCGAAGACTAAGTTCGTAGCGAACCTGGACCGGCAGAACATCGAGCTCAACAAGCAGTACGGCATCGAGGCGCCGTCGAGCGGCGGCCTGGGCTCGCTCGCGGGCGTCGTGGGGCAGGTCATCGGACCCAAGCTGCAGCTGCTCGGGCCCAAGATCCAGGCGGTGTCGGGTCTGCTGGGCGGGGCCTCGGGGGGCTCTGCTGGCGGCTCTGGCTCAGGTGGGGGCGGACTCGGCTCCATCCTCTCGCTGGTCACGTCGCTGTCCGGCTCTTCCTCGGGCGGAGGAGGAGGCGGCACCGTAGAGACTATCGATTCCTCCGAAGAGGATGACTCGTGATCCCTTCTTCTTCCTCTAAACACAGCACCAGCACGCGGCAGGTCAACTCACATTCCAGTATCAGATTAAAGTGAACGTTCAATTGATTATTTCGTCATGAATCAATTAAAAAACACTTTTTATTCATACTATTTCAAAGAAAAAGACTGCTAAAGTAGAGCAGCCATATTAGTAAAGTAGAAAGAGATCCATGCATCGTTTGCGCCAAGTTTCCAGTGCCTTGCGTACTCGTGTGCGGAGTTGATCTGCTGTTTGCTATGAGATAGTCGAAGGCATATGAGGCTCAGATCCCAGTGAGAGTACTGGAGTGGGAGCGCAGTAAGGGAGCCCCGGAGTCGTGACCCGCGCTAGTGGCACTACACTAGCGAGCGTAAGTCACGCTCTTGTTCCCCCGCCCAGTCGCACGCACAGCTGCGCGATTTCTCGTCTCTCTCCTGTTCTCCTGCTCCACTCTTCTCCTCTAACTTTTTGTACTTTTCTTCTACCGGTATTGAACCGCACTCTCTACTCTGTATATTTATATTTTGTAAATAGTTTTAGGTGAAATGGTGATATTAAATATTTTTGTATAATTATTTTTTTCATTGCACTTTTGCACCCAAGAAACCGTTGCCTCTCGCTCGCTCCTTGTATGTACAATACATTTAACTGTATATAGAAACTGGCGAGGCGTTTGACTCTTATACGAGTAGTAGTATAGCAGTGGGATTAGTATATAGTATAGTCAGCACGTAGAGTACAGTAGAGCACTACTTGTAGTGAGTCACTCATTAATGAGTTGTGAGTAAAGTTCACTAGAGCACGAACTTATTAATAAAAATTGAATTTGCGTATTATCACACTACTATTTCTATACACACACGCATACACACACAGGCGCACGCGTGCGTCAACACACTATTTATTTGTCACATCGCAAGATGTCCCCACGTCAGAGCTAGTCATTACTAAAGTCATTGAATTAAATAAAATGTTTGTTAACTATATTAACTATATCTGTGTGCAATATGAGTTCCTTTCGTACGAGAAAGCCTCCCCCGTCCTCCCTCCGCCCAACAAGAGCGCGCTCGATGATCTCATACGAGTGGTTGCCTTATTTCATTGGGGACCACGGGGATCACGGACACTGCCATTGTGTCGTTATTCACTCGAGTCTTCAGAGTTAGGCAATGTGACCACGCAGCGAGCAACGGTAGACGTGTGCTTCGTAGTCCAGTAGGCTCAAATCTATAGTACATCGTATTTAATTGTTATATTGCACGTGCAGATATCACGCTTTTTTCTGTCTCTCCTTTAGACACAAGGATGTTGAATAATCCAAGTAATCTTCAAGAATCACTTTTTTATCACTTAATTCTTATGATACGGAAACAGACCGAACCACAGTGTTACACAATTAGGTCACTGTAGCAACGTAGCTCGTAGCACCGTCCTGTAGACACGCGTAGCGATGCCGTAGCACCACCGTGACAGTAGATAGTTCGCCTCGACCGTTCCCTTCCCTTGAGCTCAATCAATGCCAAATTGTTGCCATATCACAGTTCATGTATTAAGTCCTAATAAATATTTTGTTATAATGGTGAGCGTTATTCGTTTTATTTAATGCCCAACCACGAGTGACGTCACGGCCGTCGTCAGCACGATCGATCTGACAGACGCCGTGGCCGTACCAGTATTTACCTCACACGATCAATCAAGAACTAGTGTAAGTAAAATTATGAATTCTCGTGCCAGTCGATTAAAATTTTATCGATAGTCCGCTTATTGAAACACTTTCCGCGCGCACCCGCCCTGCCTCACACTTGTGCGGCGCCGCGGGCCTGCTCACTGCAACCTGACGCACCGAGCACCCGCCGACGCGACCCCATCCGACGCAATACGAACGTTATGTTGCCTTGTTACACACTGCTCCACGGTACGATATTGATACATATGTACATACATACATACATACATGCATATGTACATACATACATACATACTTTGTACAATCAGTTTTGGGTGAGGATGAATTCGCAATATATTGAAATTAAATTTTGAATGGTTGAATAAATGTAAATACTAGGCGAGTGTTGGACCCCAGGGTCGTCCTGTCGTCGCCGAGGTCGCTCGCAACATAGTCGCAGCAGAGGTCGCGCACTCACGTCCGCTAATCACTATATAAATCTCACAATTATTTCGCAATCATAGCTAATCATCGTAAGCGTCGTCGTCGACCGTATAATCACGCAAGGCGTGACGAGAGGTGGGGCAAGCCTCACGTGTCTCACGTCGAGCGACCTACCTGCACATGAACTGGTTTAAATTGTACTAATAATATTAAGTAGAGCGGAGCCAAAGTGAGCTGCTCTTCATGTAACATTCTTAGTTCTCGGACGCGGCCGCTCCGTGGTGAGTGCTGTTCACTTGTGTTTTAGGAGTTCATAACAAAGTCAGTTTGTAAATGTTTATTATTACAACGGGACACGTTTTAATTATACGACAGAATAAGGTAAGTGGTGGTGAATGCGCGTACAGACGGCGCACCGACTGTCGTGTCTACATGTCGAGCGTGTGTCAGTTCCAGAGTGGCACTACGTGGAGTCGCCGCACGAGGGCGCTCCCCTCGGAGCCATCGTCGTCGCGGGGCCGGAGGGTCTCCCCGGGGGTGGGGCTGCGGGCGCGTGGGGAGACGGGTGGGGTGCGGGTGACGAGGCAGGCCGACGACATCCCCGTTTTCGACCGGAACAAGGTCAGCCTCGACTTCCCGGGGAGCCTGTTTGGTCCCTCCGTCTCCCTCCTCATCCGAACCACTAAGATCATCGGCGACGTCGTCCAGGTAATCAATCTTCCTTAAATTACATACTCTTTTCCTGACGAATTTTTATTATTACACAAGAATGATGACGGACGTGCGGCAAGTGAGCGCCGCGCGTGTAGGCAGGTAGAGCCGGCGAACGAACCGAGCTCCCCATCCTCAAGGTCTGACTGGTCTTATGTATTGCTCATGATACATAGTATATGTGTATCTACGCCACGTGTTGGACAGTTTGTCAGGTATAGCTTAGGTGAGTGGACGAACTCACAGGCCACCCGATGTTAAGTGGTTACCGGAGCTCATAAATATCTACAAAATAGATTCCGCCACCCACCTTGAATATGAGTTCTACAATACAGTACAACGGCTGCCCCACTCCTCAAACCGAAACGCGTTACTGCTTCACGGAAGAAAAAGGCAGTGTGGTGGCAGACACTTACCCGTGCGTCCTCACGTGACGTCCTGGAATGTATGCGTGCTGCTCTACATATTTTGTAAATGGCGATATGCGAATACGATGGCGACCGAGTGCAGCTGATGTTAAATGTGCATGTCGCTTGGTGCGGTGCGTGTTGGGTGTACTGTGACGTACGGTTAGAACCTGTGTGTACGGTTAGTTTCTGCCGCGAGCGGGCGGGGGTCAGTGAGGTGGGACAGTCGGTGTACAATACAATTGAAACTTTGACCTTGTAGGCCGCTCACAACCTCATGTCCCAAAGTGGGTTGCGTCATTGGTGTTGTGAGGTTTGCGGGCCGGAGTAACCATTCAATACCAGGCGGTCTGTGAACTCGTGCACGGATCTATAGATAATAAGCTAAATTAACGTTCATACGTCATGTATATAATATGTACATAATAATATGTATCGTTTGTATGTATCGTTTGTAATGTAACGTTGCAGAACTCAGCGGTGCGGTATCAGTCCTTCCTCCGCCTGTTCCGGCCGTTGTTCCGCGGACCCTTCGAGATCAAGGGGCTCGACCCGCCAACCACCACGACCACCACGACCACCACGACCACTACCACCACAGCCGCACCTCCAGCGGACAGCACGCCCAGCACCACGCCCGCTCCCGCCCCCACAGACAATGAGGTGCGGAGACGCTGAGACGTCTTCGGTGCAGTTCAGTACAGCTCAGTACGACAGTTAAACAATCGCACACAAACTAATCAATCCACGCCGCCGCACACACACACACACAGCACACGGCGCTAAGTAACGGTCCATCCGAGGCAGTTGTCATATTGACAGCTTAACGTCAACTCTTCTGTACAGTCATCGAGCCAATATGTTGTTGGTGCGGTCCGTCCTGGTACTGGGTGCTGGTAATGATGAATGCGTAGAGCGCAGCGACACTGCTGCTGTACGCGGAGGGTATGGGATGCAACTTTGTCTTAACTTTTCGTTGATGTTAATATGATAAGAGTCGCCAAGAGCTACCGACGTGTTCGAACTGTGAAACCTCTCCATTTTATTAACATATCTACATGTGTATATATTGTTCTAAATAAAGTGTTTTTAGACTCAAATAAATTTTAATTTATTGATTAATGTAAATGTATGATGTAGATGTAGACATATGTAGACACGGCGACCGACGCCGCGACGTCGACTGAACGACTATTAGATTATGTGCCGCATGGCTGCTGCTATATTGTTAAATTAAGTTTCATTAGACAATAAATATTCTTATTAATGATTAAGTGTTTGTTTTTAATCCCTCCCTCCCTCCCTCCCCCCTTAAGCACATCGCAATCGGATGTAGTAGTAGTACTTTTTTTTTTTTTATATATGTTTTTGACGCTATACTTCTTTAGGCGCGTTATGAAAAATTGATGAGAGTGAAATTTTACGATGCGCGCACGCACGCATTACGATACACTAAATTAACAGAAATGAAGTTGCCCACTAAATCGCTCATTACAATACGACCGACGTAACTTGGCGAGTCTGAATATAGCAGCAGGTGAACTTTCGCGCATGTACACTCGTAAAAAAATGTGTTATTAGCATTAATTTTTTTTTAGTAATATAAATGACAAAACTATTATTTAATATAATTCATACCAAATATTATTAAATTATTAACGTTAAATATTTATTATTCATTATTTAATATTTAAAAAAAAGAAAGATAGGGATAAATTTAATAAAAATAAAGTATAACTTCTTACGCGCGTACATAAGTACACGCACCCTTTTTTTATTATTATATCTGCAGCTATAAATGTGACTTATTATGTAACTGTAGTGCTGTTTTTACAAGTAAAACGAATGGATTTAGTAAAAAGTGATTAGTATGTTACATGTTATTTCAATGAAATACTATTTTATATTTTGTCATTTAATTCATTCCGTAATATATTTGAATTACAATGATTAAACCACCCGGATATGTATATAATATTCTTGTTCTTATCAGTATGGATAGTTGCGAAGACCAGAGCGATCAAAAAAAAATTTAAGTTAAAGATTATGAAATGATTATGAAAAATGAGATACTTAGAACACTTAACGAACACTTTAAATTTTTTAAATTAGTTTTTTCCGCTTTACTTCAGGTGATCCGTTCGCTGTTTCGCTTCGAGTAGATTCGATTATTAATTGCCTCCGTGTCATCTATGCAACGCTTTTCTATAAATTTCTATAATTTCTAAATAGTCGATACGACATTCCTAGAATTATCGAGAAAAATTTTTTTTTTTTTTTTTTTTTTTTATTTTTTTTTTTTTTTTTATTGCTTAGATGGGTGGACGAGCTCACAGCTCACCTGGTGTTAAGTGATTAC